AGTTTTATAAGAGTTCTTGTAAATATGGTAAAACCCTTATTATAGCTGCGGATTATAGCTTTAAAATAATTAAATTAAGTCAAAACGGTCAATATTGAACCCTGAAAAGGAACCAACTGTGAGTTTTTAATTGACTTTAAGTTCCACTTTGGAGCCTTGCATGTACCTCCAGTGACCTCAACCCAACATTAAAGCACAAACCACCCCTGGGCAGTCTGATGTCTTCATTCTTATCGAGCTCTTTCATTCCTGTCGGCGGAGGCCGTGAGCCGAGATATCGCTCATCGACTTGAAGTGTTTGGAGGTCCAGATAGGGAAATCAATTTGTCGGGTTTCCGTCCAAAATGAGATAAAGTTGACGAGACGTCGCCTTATCTCCGTGAACTGATTGCTGCTTTTTCTCTCGAAGGCCGCGGAACCTGCATCTGTTTACATTTTCGGTGGCAAAATTATACCGTTTCTTAAATGTTGATGGATTTCAGGCTTCGAGTTCAGTGTGTTTTTTTTTTTCTCTCTTCCCGATGCGCGGCACTCTGGGACTGAACGCTTCATTTAGACTTCAGATTTAGCGGCTGCGGCGGGGAGAGGAGGCGGAGGGAGGGCGCAGGAGGCGACAAATGCTGGTCGCTGATGAGAGAAGGAATTTGTGTGTGTGTGAAATAGTTTGCATGCAATTTAACAGCTGGCTTATGAGATTTTTTTTTTTCTTTTACTCTTTGCTTTATTCTCTCTCTCTCTCTTCCTCGGCTCTCTTCCCATCCCAGCTTTTTCTTTTTTTTTTTCTCCCCCTCCATCTTTGTTAGCGCAGTTATGATAGATGAGTGTATTATAAAGCGGGGACTTGAAGCGGGGGAAATCAATGCTCATTCCTCTGAGGTGTGTGTATGTGTGTGTGTTTTCCAGCTGGCTGTTTGTTAAGAGGTTAGAAGCTGGATACATTCATTGTTTTGGGAGCCAGGGGCTGCAGCTGAGCTGCTCTGTCTTGATCTGCTTTCCTTTGACTCAGCAAACCAACTCTGGCCAGACAAACACACACACACACACACACACACACATGCACTCAAACAACACACGCACACTCGCCCACTGGCACGCTCACGCAACAGCACATCTAGAGACAACGTCCCACACATCTATACTCACAACACAGACGTTACACAATACAACAGAGAGTGAAGTCTTACCTGGATCGCTGCCTGATTGCCCATCCATTACTCCTTTTGTTCCAGCCTCTCGACTCCCGTTTCAGGTGCAGCGTTTGTTTTAGCTCCTTTAGAGACTCTTAGCTGGACTTTGGGCCATAAATAGAGCCGACTCGAGGCCGCTTCGCCGCTGGAAATGTAGTAAAACTTCATGTAATGCCTGTTTATCTGCTGCGGCAGGTGCACGAGGAGGGTTAGGATGCAACAGCGGCTCTTTTTTCAGAAACATATCTAGTTTTTACAAGTAAATTCATTATTTTAAGCTGCCACAAACACTTTTTGGGTGTAAAATACGGCAAAATAAACAACAAGTTCATACATTTGAGAAGCATTTAACTGGTGATCATAGTCGTGGCACAGCTGCAGTTGAGATCCCAGGTATCTACTGGTTCTGTTCAGAATGAGAAGTGCTGCCGACTCTTAGAACTTGCTGAGTTATGTCTTGATTAAAGTCCTGGGTACACTTCAAAAACAAAGTGCTTGTTAGGTCGTCCAGCGGCTTTAGAAAACGTCTGCTTCTGCGGCTTCCCGTGACTGTAAATGAGCGCAGCGCCGTGTGTGAACTTTAAAAGACAAGCTGCCCCATTATCCCCATTGTGCAGCTGATAGCATCACCGCTGGACAGAGAATCAGGATGTTCTTAGATGCGGCTCGGCAGCCTCGTATCCTGAGAAGTTTTGTCCATATTGGGTTATTTCACACTTCCTAACTCACATGTCTTGATGCTGACCTGCAATTAAGAATCGCCTTTTTATGTGAAACCAGCTATAATCTTATTCTAACGTTACCAAACCTTATTTTATTTCCCATAACAGTTCTGATATAAGATGCAAAGAAGGAGGATTTTTGCAGCATTTTGCGAAAGATATGAAGAGATTTGACACTGTTATGCGTCCGGGGGGGCTGCAAGGTGGCGCGGTTGGTATTGTTGCCTCGCAGCAAGAAGGTCGCCGGTTCGCGTCCCGGTGAGGACACCCGGGATCTTTCTACGTGGAGTTTGCATGTTCTCCCCGTGCAGTGTGGGTTCTCTCCTGGCGACCTGTCTCCTGCCTTCGCCCTGAGTCAGCTGGGATAGACTCCAGCCCCCCATGACCCTAGTGAGGATTAAGCGGTGTATAGATAATGGATGGATGGATGTGTCCAAGGACAAGGACTTTTCAATTTTGATCTGTAAGGATGCAGACCTTTGACAAAACTTACTGTCATCCAAACTTAACTGTATCCTTCCACTGAAGGAAGTAAAATTAAAAGATCTTGTAGAGATTACTTTGCAGGACAGAATTAATTTCTTTCTTTCCTTTCTCTCTGCTCGCTCAGCAAAACAGCCCTCAAAGCAGCACATGTACGAATGCTGTGGCCCTCAGGTGTCTCTTAAAATAAGCTGTATGTCACATTTATTCTCTTCTGGTTTTCAAAGGGGCCCCGACGTACAAAACTGCAAAACAACCCGAAACGTCTGGAAAACACGACACGTCGGCTGCTGTGTTTTCTGAAACAAAGTGGGAGCAAGCGGCGGCATAAAACTGTCTCGCATTTTTCTGTGCAGACTGGAAGAAATCCGTCGTCCCTATAGGCAGACTTTGAAAAAAAGGGGGGAACCCGCCGGTGAAAGTGTGGCAGAGAAAGCTGATTAGCTCTTCTGGAACGCAGCCTGAAACCTCTAATGTTAAGTAGGGATGTGCGTGGTTATTGATCAGAGGGAATGAACGTGTTAAGGAGCGTCTGAGCCACGGAGCGCTCATCATGAGTGATGGTGGTGTCGGAGTTTGCATCCAGCAACCAGGGCTCATAATTTCTGGCTACCTAATGTGCACTCTCATAATTACTATATATATAAAACGGCATAGCAGCACAGCGGAAGAAAGAAGAGCTGGTACATGATCTGTGAGGTCATTTAACACACTGTGAGGCAGCAGGTGTGAGCTAATCTTAATTTAAACTCGGGATACACTGAGGTCTCGAAGCCTCATAATAATAATATAATGATAATGTAGTAAGGAAAGGAATCATTTCAAAAAAGAACAGCTGGAATTAAAATAAGTTTGTCCTCCATGTTATTCCAGGAGCACAGTAACTTAAATCTGGACTAACGTGACACAGCAATGGAGCAAAAAAAAGTAGGGATCTTATAAATAAATAATATCTGCCGTGCCCTACAGAAAGGGAAGGGCACCCAGTCCTAGCACACAGCTAGCATGATAACCATCTCCAGTGATGAATGTTAAACAGTCACGGCTGATGCATGCATGTACAAAATGTCACCGTAATCCAACACTGATGGAAAACGTGTTTTTCTACAAAGCAGTGTGAAACACGATTCATTCCTGTAAAAGAACACATTTTTTTTTTGGTGTCACTTAGTCAGCAGTCTGCACACATGATATTTAAAGGTCACCTTCTTATCCATCCAAATTCTGGGTGCTTGTACTTTTTGATCCTTTCGGTGTCAGTGACACTCGTTGTAGAGGTGACAGAAGTGTCATCATCAATACAGATCGTGATTTTAGTTTTATGTGCCTTAAGAAGAATTAGTTTATGCTGGTGAATACAACTTGTAGTTTATCAAAGCAGTGCTGAAGGGTGTAATGTCACTTTATGCAAAGGTTATTTAAACTGCCTTAAAGGCAAAGGTCAAAAATAAAAGCATATAAAAGATATAAAAAATTTCACTCAGTCAAAAATTGTACAGACAAGTTGAATTGAATATGCACAAATTTTAGAGAATAATTAAAACTTATTGACTAAAACAGTGCGAAAAGGTAAGATAAATAAAACTGAAAGATAATGTATATTTATGTGGAAGCAATAAAAAGGCTGATTGCTGGAAACCCCAGCATTGAGCCTTGTGGGACACCGTTTACATGCTAATGTTCTGATGCTATGTTTACCATGTTCAACACCTGCTTTGAGCTAAGTGCTAACATCAACATGCTAACATGCTCATAGTATACCCATGTGGTGATGCTAAGACTGTCTAATGACTACCATGGTTTAGACTATGCTCTGAGCTAAATGCTAACATCAGCATGCTAACATGCTCACAGTATGCTAATATGGAAATTCTAAGAAGATCAAAAGTTTACCATACATCATCTCTGGTCTGAGCTAGATGCTAAAATCAGCATGCTAAGATGCTTACAATAATAATGCTAACATAACAGTGATAAAAAGGCCTATGTTTACCATGTTCAGCATCTGCACTGAGCTAAATGCTAACATCAGCATACTCACAGTATGCTAACATTGCAGTTGTAAGAAGGTCCAGCTCTGGTCTGAGCTAAATGTACATACCAGCTTGCTAACATACTCACAGTATGCTAACATGTTGATGCTAAGACGGTCAAAAGTTTACCATGTTCACTATCTACTCTGAGTTGAATGCTAACATCAGTACGCTAACATACTCACAATCACAATGCTAACATGCTGATAATAAAAAGCCCTAACGTTAATCATGTCCAACATCTTAGAGTAGCCTGTTAGCATGCTAATATATACAAAGCAGTCTTTAGCCGCGCTAGCACCTCGATGAGACCCAGCAGTGATGTGAGCTGTGCTTACACCAGATTGTTAAAATGGTGACACTGACAGGCCAAATGTTTACCACATTCACCACATTAGCTTAGCATGTTAGCATGTGTTAACATTTGCTAAACAACACTACAGACTAAGTACAGGAGAAGCTGAAGGGAATGTCCATCAGAAAATCACTTTATTTACTGTGTTCGTGATCTTATTGTGGAACAAGTCAAGTGTGTTGATTGTGTGTAACCTCTGTGGTGTGTGTGTCTGTTGCAGGTCTGGACGACTGCTTGCAGCAGTACGTGTGTGTGTTTGAGCGCGGAGGTGTGTGCGGGGAGCGGCTGCTGAGGATTAGCCACGCCGAGCTGGAGGAGCTGGGAGTTTCTCGCATCGGACACCAGGAGCTCATCCTGGAGGCCGTCGACTTGCTCTGCGCTCTGGTGAGTTTGCTTTTTGTAATTTCGTCGCAGCGCAGGACTTTCATTAGGCGTCTCTACGGCTGCAGCTTTAATGCACGCCGCTCTTCTTGAATGCACAGTGAAACAAATTGCAGGAAGTAAAGTTTTGGCGTCCTGAATCACATCCTTGCATCCTCCGATTGGCACTAACACAAGGGGAAAAAAACAAATAGGCTCAATTTTAGACTGAGGAGAGCTGGGATGCAAGATTTGATCTTACTTCAGCTTCATCTCATCAGGTCATGAATCAATATTTAGATCAGCAGCCTGTTTTTTTAAAAGGAAACATGTAAATGGAACAGTAGTGAAAAATGGCTGAAAGTATATGAAGGTTTAAAGAAAAATAGTTTAACCAACAACTGTCAAAATGAGGAAAGCAGCAGGACAATTGGTTAAAGAGGGATTTACCATATCGTGTAAGGATACCGGTTTGTTTTAATTTACTATCCTCTGCAAACTATTCCACATGTCACAAACCTTCTGGTCTGTCTTTAGAGTGAATATTGTGATTGGAAGATGAGTTACTTGGGATCAGTTTGTGAAGATATGAGGGAAGTTTGTGCAGTTTAAAAATAAAATAAAAGTTGGAGAAGCTGCACAACTTGTACGATTTGTGGTGAGCAGAAGACAAATCTAACAAACCAAAACTGGGAATATTCCTCCGGATCGGGTCTCATCCCCTCCAGCAAAAACACAACTTTTCTATCAAGTTAGCAGCTTTTCCTTTTGAGCTGCGTCTCGTTAAATCTGCAGTTATTTTTACCAGCGGTTTGGTTTAGAACTCTTATCCTGCAGCAGGAGGAACCGAGAGGCATTTCTATTCTGACGTTTATCCCCACAGAGCTTCGTCCCTGTCAACCTCTTCTATCCGCTGATTTTAAATAGTAGATAAACGACAACTAACAACAGCTTTTATGTGAAGAATTCATTTTGAATTCATCAAATTTTAAAGTTCCTCAGCACCACTAAAGCCACACTTTCCTCCGTTGCCGTCTGTTTCCTATTTTTTTTGCACAAAAATATTGCAGCATTCGTCGAAACCATCTGTTAAGTTGATAGTTTATGCCAGTGTGTCATCACGGAAACTTATTTATTGCATTAAAACTTAAATTGCAAACAAGAAATAATCCAATCGCATATAAACAAAACAAAAAAAACATCCTTAAATACCAACAGAGTGAAAAAGTAAAGTAATCCTCCTCCTTTTTTTGTTATATATTCTATTTGCTTTACAAATATTTGATCTCAAATCAATAAATCTGACTGTCATAGCTCAAATAATGCTCGTTTAAATTTGCACAGATCAGCAGAATATGGAGGCAAACTGGTTTTTATTTGTGCCGCTAATTCACATAAACATCCCACAAAATAAAAGAAACTGGGAAAGTTGATAAATGTCATCGTAATCATCCTCATCCTCACCCACTCGTTACTGCGTCTTTCAAACGAGCTGCTAATTTTAACACCCGTTCTAGTCACTGTGAGTCATTTATATCGATCATGTTCGTAGCATCTATTGTATCATTCAATAAATGTATTCAGTAATAAAGACGATGGAAACCAAAGTCGTGCTCGATGAGTCTTTAGGTGTTTGTGCTTCCCTGTTCTGAGCCGCTCCGTGTTTACGTTGTTTGTTTTCGTGCAGAACTCAGGACTGGAGACGGAGAGCGTCAGGACTCTGGCTCACAAGCTCGGCGCCTCGGCCAAGAACCTGCAGAACTTCATTTCCGGCCGCCGCCGCAGCAGCCAATCGGAGAGCAGGAGCTCCCGGCGGCTCCCCAACGATCTGCTGACCTCCGTGGTGGACCTCATCACCGCCGCCAAGAGCCTGCTGGCCTGGCTGGACAGGTGATACCTTCTCTTAAGCGGCTAAATTTATCTCAGGCAAAGGAGGGACGAGGCAGGTTGGAGTCTTCAGACCGTCACCTGTGAATGTTCACTGCAGTCGGTCACATGGGGGGTAAAGATATGAACTAGATGTTGGCTCCGAGTCACGTGAAGTGAGGATGCGTTCACAAACAGAATCAATATTTGTGTTTGAAGCAGCAGCAGTTCTCCTCGGTGCACTTGGCAGGCTGAGTGTCTTTTCTGTGGATTCATGTGTCTCCTGTCTCGTCATGTAAACCCAGACTGACTCCATGAAGCTGCTCTTTTCCTCTTTAGGAATCTACAACCTGTGCACACACCTGTTTTTATTCATATTACAGTTACTCCTAAATCAGATGCAGGACGACACTCGTAGATTTTTATTACTTTTAGCGGTTTTACGTTCGAGGATTAACTTTAGAACAATGAATCTATTTTATTCATTCATTTGGCTAATTGCAATAAATATGAAATGTGTTTCTTGGCTTCGATCCCGACGACTTTAAGGATAAAACCGAAGCGAGCTTTTGTTACCTTTGGACGGAGTCGGCCTCCGTGGTTCCTCCTGTTGCCAATCTTTACATTAAGCAAAGCTCAACTAGACGCCTGCTTGTGGACGCTCAGGAAGAAACAAAGAGGTTCACTTCTTCATTTTTTAAAGCCAATCAATCAATAAGCTCATCTTTCTTCGCAGCCAAGTGAACCTTTACTTAAACTCCATTTAGGTTGAAGCGTCTTTTACTATGTGGCAGAGCAGAGACGCAATAAATACATAAAAAGAGAGAAAAGATGAAGAAGAAAATACTAAAAAGGCAAATTGGTAAAATAATAAAAACATTTAAAATAAAGAGCACAAAAGAGATTTAACCTTCTGGACCTCAAGTAGTGTCTTTTTCTTTTTTTGTTCTTGTCACATTTTTACTCACTGTTGGCTCATTTTTTCACTGCAATATAAAATCCTGCACCTCTATGGAAACCAGGACTGGAAGTAGTACAGAGAAGCTTAAACATGTTTTCTGTGAAGTATAATATAATTTATAATACCATAAATCATTAAAAATTCACTAAATAAACAAAAACAAAAAAAGCCTCAAATGCTGAATTTCTTTCCAACTGCCCACAAGTGTGAACAAAACAGGAGGAAAAAAGTAACTGTACATAATATACCTGCAGATATTTAACTATTTTTTTAATGTTTTTGTCACTATGTACTCTGTGTAAACACTTCCTGCAGTTCAGCCGAATAGTGCCTGAATTTTTCACGTGACTGTTGTTTGCACTGACGGCTTCACAGTTGCATAGAAAAGCATAAATGTTTAGGACACTGCTGTAGCTCACCTGGTTGAGCTGGTGACCCACATATAGGGGCTGTAGGCTCTGATGCAGCAGTCGTGGGTTCGAATCCCACTCATGGCCCTTTGCTGCAACCTCTTACTCCATCCTCCTCCCTGACTTTCCTGTCTCTGTCTCCACTGTCCGATCTAATAAAGGCCAAAAAATACCTTTAAAAGAAAAGCATGAAAGTTTTTTTTTATGTTTTTAGAATCTAGTTACTACTAGTTTTTTTTTTTTGGTAAATTTTTTTGAATGAGACGTGTAAAGCCAACTGTTTTTAAAAAAAATATCTATATATACAAGCTTAGACTTTATCCCGACTTAGCCACCATTCTCACAAGTTTTTACCATTTCTGACTCTAATCATTTGTGTAATTTTGGCATTTTTTAAAAAAAAAAGAGAGACCTTGCTTTTCAGCAGTGAGTTTTGGGGTTCACAAGGTTAAAACAAGGTGCATCAGCTACATTGAGAGCAGCTGGATGTACAACAAGAATCAGAATCAGAAGCTTTTTTATTGCCAAGTAAATATAATAATCTAGAGCTAAGAAATTCTAAATAAAATATGTAAAAGAAAAGTATTAAAGTACTGTGTGAATAAAAAGTACGATGAAAAGAGATGTAATCTTTCCTAAACCAAGTCATAAATGAGGAAACAGTTTAAATGACAATACTGGATATTGATACATAAGATAGAGTTAAAAACTGAAATCTTCCTGAGGATAAGAATCAGAAAGCTTCATGCAGTTCTGAGTGTTGTTCCAAGTTACAGGTCCATGCTAAAGAAGACTAGATTTAGTGAAAACAGTGTGCAGCTGAATCCGATCATTTCGGCTCGTTTGGTGAGAATCTGCATTAAGAGCCAACAGATGCAAAGAGGTGAAAAGCCAGTCGGGGCCTCATAAATAAAGGAAACCCAGTGTCTTCCAGGGCACCATCTGACCTTAGCTCACGGAGATGAGTATTATAATATCAGCAGTAATAAATCTTAATGCAGAGCGGTAAACAGCATCCAAGGGCTCCGGGGTCGCAGCCGAGGCTCGCCGGTACAAAAGGTGACGTTAGTATATCGACAAAAGAAAAAAGCGCCGCGCTCAGCAGCTTAAAGGTTAAGTCCACGGTTTGACTCTTGGCCGTGCGGACCCCCTCTCCCTCTCTCTGCTCTTCATTTCCTGTCTGTGTCTGCGCTTCTAATGCTATCAAAAGGTAATAACAGCCGGGAGATACGACACAATAAAGCACAGATTAGCCCGGCCTCCAGACGCCGGAGCTTTGCAAACACAAATTAAAGTCTTATTTGTGGCCGACCAGCAAACAATCCTAAAGCAGAAATGGAAAAAGATAATAATCCAAAGCCTGAAAAGAAAAGTCTCGGACGTGTGCGAACCAAAACTTTCACCTGCGATCAGCCGACGACACAAAACAGCAGCAGACGTTTGACTCAGGACGACTTCAGCTGGGGCAGGTTTTGATGTGTCGAACAGCACGGAGCATGAAAAACGACAAAAGTATCTGGAATAGTGGGTCCAGGAGCAAATCAGCAACAGTTTACGACTCTTGATTAAGTGTTTAAATCATCTTTACTGGAAAAAAGACAAAAATCAATGTTGATATTTGAGGTTTCTGGGATGCAAACTGAGCATCTTTGGGTTTGGGACGACTAAAAACACCCCTTCAGCTGCAGTTTTCCATATTTTAGCAACTAAACAAGTCATCAGCTAATCAAAATATGAATGTATGTAATGCCTGATATGCAAACAAGGCTTCTAAACCGTCCCTCTGTTCTCTGTTTGTACGACTAAAGCCTCAATCTGCACGAGCACAAGCTCCTGCAGGTGTTGACATCTTTCTTGAAATATGTTGGGTGTTATTTTTTTTTTTCCAAAGGAATAATGTCAGGCCTCTCTCTCGCTCGCTCGCTCACTTCTCCGCTCTCTGCTGTCGCTTCATTTATTCATGACTCGACACGATCTCCTTCACACACGTCAGATGCAGAACTAAAGGTCTTTGACATCGGTTCTTGAAATGCCAGGCACCCACACCTGTCCGCGGGCCATCGAGACAAACGCACAGGATGGGAAAAAAAAAAAACAACGCGCTGGCAGACGCACACCCACAACGCTACGCACTGACACACACTTATGCAAGCGCACACGCGGCCGCCCACGCGCCATGATACAACTGTAAATGGCAACGCGACATTGAGGAAGGGATAGACTCAGCAGAGCACTCTGTTCCTCATCCCTGAGACAGCGCTGTCAAAAATCCAGCATATTAGACAAAAAAAAATAAAAAATATGTTAAAAAAACGAGCATATTCCAGCTCTGTGAGGGTCCGCTGCTATATTTAACAGGCATATGATCCCACCAGAGCTTTTATTTTCGATGAAATCCTGATTCTCGCAGCCAGGGAATAAGAAACGATTTTTTTTCTCACTAAAACCATTAACGGACCCCCTAACGACGTGGGAACCGTCAGCCTAGAAGTCGTCTTGAATTAGCAGCCGCAGGATCTCTGCCTCTTAAAAGGTGTTGAACAGAAGAAAAAATTAGCATAAAGCATGTTTAAAAACTGAACTTTCATCTGGCTCTGATTGCCGATCGTTAGATCTCTCGGGGACGGAGGGAAAGTGCAGCTCGCCCGGCGTCTTCTTCGCTCCGAATGACTTGAAAAGACATTTCGCAACCTTTTCATGTATAAAATAACATCTCTGCCCCGCCTCAGACGCCCCCACGTCTCATATATGTGTGTTTACATTTCCCTCCCGAGATATCGTTTTGGGCTGGATTTATGGGCCGTCGCGTTTCTGTTTCTTTGAACTCCTCATTTTCCTCTTTATATGCACATTGGAAAGCACCTAGCCATGAATTAATAACACGGCCACAGAGGCTGCAGTTTATGTGCGATGTATTTCGCTGATGGCTTTGAAATGCAGCGAGAGTGTTTTTCACTTTTTAAACCAGTGTAGTGAAGGAGTAGACTTTAAAGCATGTGGGGTTATTGCTGGGTTGGATCACATGGAACGGCCTTTTTTTTTTAGCCCTTAATTGTTCAGATTTAAGCAAATTGGCCCCAATAAATGCATGCAGAGTTGGTCATTAGCTGCTCCTGTTAATACCCATAAATGTACGGACACATATCACTGTGGCAGATTTAAGCATGTTGATCTGGATTTAAGGATTTGTGCTGGATAAAAGTGGTCATGCAATGCTGTTTTTTGGGGATAAATTCGTGCTGTTGTGTATTTAATCCACGCTCGTTAGTGTGCGGACAGAATAACGGGGTCATTTCAGCACAAACCAAGTGTACGGTGGCTTCGTTGGAGCTTTATTACCTGTAAAGCTGCTGAAAATTGCGTTTTATGTGGAAAGTTGTCAACGTGGCGGCTTGTTAGTGTCATCTGGAGGGGTTCTGTGTAACTGACCAGAACCAATAAATAATATAGTTCAGAGTTAATGAAGTAAAACAGCAAACATTTGTTCAGGTAAACTTTAAAAACTTCCATGCTGTGTGGTAGAGAATGCGCATCCCGACATGTTATCAGGTGTCCAGGCTGAACCGAGGACACGACAGATCCCAGGGCTAATTTCCATCTGGTGTCCTGCACTCATAAAAGAAACACAAAAAAAATTGACAAGTTGCGTTGAC